ATCAAAAATATATATATAAATAGATTTTTAGTTTTCATGGTAATAGATTAGCACTTATAGATTATTATTATTGTATTAGTTTTTAAACTATATATATATTTAATTTGTTAGTAGAAAACTAAATTTAGTGTTAATTTTATTTTTTAGTTTATAAAAATAAATAACATTATAATCAATATAAAGCTAATAGTTTTAAGCTATTTTTTAAGTACTTTTTTAAAAAAAAAAGATTTTTAAAAGAAAAATTTATTTTCTTAAAACTAGAAAAAAATCTTATTTTCTATATTTTTTATAATAATTTATTTTTTTTACTAAAATTTGATTAAAATTAATAATATATATATATACTTACAGTGTTTTAAGTTTTTGAAATTTTCCCAGAAATACTTCTTTGGATAAATGTTTTAATTGAGGCGCAAATTTTATATACCTGTCCACAAAACAATAGTAAATAATAATAATAATTAATTTTTTTAAAAAAAGTTATAATCAATTAAATAAATATATATTTAGTTATTTATTTATTTTTATAAATTTATGTTATATTTATACAGTATATAACTTTGTTATATTTTTTACAATATAATGTATATTATTTTTTTTAATTCAATAACATCTATATATATACACTACAGTATATATAGTATATACTGTAATAACAGTATATTTATTAAACAAAAAAATATCAGTTATATACAATATTTTACATTTTATTTCAATAGTTATATAAAAATTTACTGCAAAATAAAATAATTAATTTGTTTTATTATTATTATTATCATCTAATTAGTTGTTATAGAAAACAAAATAAATAAATAATTTAGTAAATAAATTTTATTAAATAGATAGTAGGGTTAGGCATCAATTACATCAATAAGTTTTAGACTACTATTTGATTGTTATTTAATATATATATATATATATATATATACAGTAAGTCAATGATTATTAATAATAATAGTTATAATTTAAAACTTATAAGTTATATACTATATATACTGTATATATATTATATGACTAACTCTGGACTAACTTTATGAATGTAATGCACTTTTATTTATATCATATATATATATATATATATATATTAGTATTATTATTGACATTTTTTTCTAGGAATTTATATATATATATATATATATTATCATTATTATTATAGTATGATAACTTGTATGATGAGTAATATACTGTATATATATATTGATAATATGGTTTCATCTATTTTTTTTGTTATTGGATGCATCCATACAATAAATTTAGTTGACTTAATAATAATAATAATAATAAAACGATAGATAGATAGTTGGCATCAAATAACATTTAAAGATAATTATTTAATATACAGTATACTGTATATTAAAAAAAAATTATTATTTTTATTATTATATTATCATGAAATCACACACTCATACATATATTGTTTTTTATTAAATGTGGTGAAACTTAATATAGTAGTAATGATTATATATATATAGATATTATTTTTATTGAAAAAAATAAAATTAATAATTATAATAATTATCAATTAATTTTAATTGTAATTTTATACAATCAAAGTTCGTATATATTTATACATATATATTGTCTAACATTATATCTAACATACTATATATATATATATATATATAATACTGTAGACAGTAGACAGTAGTATATAACATATAAAATGTTTGTCTATTAGATAACTAGATATTTGATATATATATTTATATAACAATTATTATTAATATCATATTATATGTATATATAAATATAGTATATATTACTATTAGATATTACCGTAAATTTCAGTCATATTAACATAATATGAAACACAATACACAATAGAATATTTAATCAAAAAAAAAATAAAATAAAAATTGTAATTAAAAAATAATATATATATATATATTATATTAAAAAACTTATATAATATCATAGAATAATACTAAATGTTTTTGTAAAAAATTTATTTTAATTTTTTTTAATAATCATTAATATTTTTTTAAAAAAAACTGTATCACATATATCGTACAGTATATACTATATATATGATATAATGCAAACCCACACACATATAGTAGAAAATTGTAGTTTTTTTTAATTAAATGTAAAAAAATTATAATCAAAAAACTATTTAATATATATTAAATTATTATTATTATTATTATTATTATATAAGAAATTACTTACAAAACTTGCAGATAATTCAAGTGTTGAAAAACTCCAGACTCTATAAGCCTAAGCCTATCCATTGATTCCATATATCTATTGATAAAAAAATAAATAAATATTTATTTATTTTTTTATAAAAACAAATTAAAAAATAATAATTTTTATATCCATTGCAAAAATATTTTTTTTTAAATTTTTTTTATTACTATTGATATTTAATTAATTTTTTATACAAAAAAAATTATACAAATACTTACAGTTCAGTTAGATTTTTGTAATTTTCTAATGAATTTTCTTTTAATATTTCGATTCCAACTGATCTTAAAATGCTATTTAAAAAAAATATCAATTTTTTTTAATTAAAATATTTTTTTTTGAAAAATAAAATAAATTACTATTAAAACTAAATTTTTAGCATTAAATTTATTTTTAAAAAAAACATAAATTTAACTATTATTATTTTTGTATTAAAAAATATATAATAATAAAATTGTATTATTTAATAGTAAAACAAATTGAAATATAAATTTATAATTTGTATATACAGTATAAATATATTATTTATATATATATATAATATACAGTATATATATATATATATTTGTTGATTGATTTGCATATTAAAAATAGTTATATAAGAGATAAAAATTAAAATATAAGTTATATATATATTTGAAACCATAAAATAAGTAATAATAATACTATAGAATAATAGATAACAAAAAATAATTTTTAATGAATAATAAATTATATTTTATGTAAAATTTAAACACAAAAAATATAATGCTTTTAAAAATAATAAATATTTAATATTTTCTTTTATGTTAAAAATAATTTTATTTTTTTGGCATTTGTTTTTTAAGTAATCTTTAAACAAAAGAAAATATATATTGAAAATAATATTATAATTATAATAAATATATACAGTATTTCATAATATTATTGAATACTAATATATAAGATATACAGTATATAAATATATTATTATATATATATAGAATATAAGATTAAATTTTGATATAAAAATCTAATTAAAACATTTATTGATTATTTTTTTTTTAATTTAAGTTTCTATTAAATAATTTAATCAATAATAGACAAAAAAAAATTATTAAAGCTATTATAAGAAATTTATTTTATTATTTTAAAAGAAAATTATTCAATAGATAACTAAATAATATATATTTTAAAAAATAATGTATAGATATATATAGTATAGGAAAATATTTTTATTGACTACTACTTGTAAATCATTTATCACTATTATTATTATTATTATATTAAGTTTATTATTATTACAAATTGTTTTTGTTTTTTCTCAACACTATTAGTATCACAAAACAATCAAAACAATTAAGTCTAGAGATTTAAAAATGCATTTATTATTTATAAAAATGTTATATTGTATTGTGTTATATATATATACAGTATATATATATATATATATATATATATATATATATATATTATGATTTTGTTTTGTTATAACAATATGTTTGTACACTTACATACATATAACCACTTTATACTATAATATAAATTGGTATATAATTTATATACAGTGTATATGTAATAAATGATGATTAATCGTATCAATTACTTGAATGGCTTAAAATAATAGTTGTGTTATATAGACTGTACTGTATATAAGCATTTTATGTATAGACTAAATAATAATAATAATAAATGTATAGAAAATATTGTTGTTATCAAAAAATATATTGAGAGATATTGTACTTTATTGGCGCCGTATGTCTCAAAGTTATGTGCAATGTGTATGTGTATGTGTATGTGTATGTGTATGTGTATGTGTATGTGTATGTGTATGTGTATGTGTATGTGTATGTGTATGTGTATGTGTATGTGTATGTGTATGTGTATGTGTATGTGTATGTGTATGTGTATGTGTATGTGTATGTGTATGTGTATGTGTATGTGTATGTGTATGTGTATGTGTATGTGTATGTGTATGTGTATGTGTATGTGTATGTGTATGTGTATGTGTATGTGTATGTGTATGTGTATGTGTATGTGTATGTGTATGTGTATGTGTATGTGTATGTGTATGTGTATGTGTATGTGTATGTGTATGTGTATGTGTATGTGTATGTGTATGTGTATGTGTATGTGTATGTGTATGTGTATGTGTATGTGTATGTGTATGTGTATGTGTATGTGTGTGTRTGTTAGCCCACAAAACACTCATTAAAGCGTAAACTTTATCGGAAGAAAATACTAAATAATAACTTTGAGATTAACGTCTCATTAATCTCTGGGCTCCGAAAATGTGTGTTTCCTTATGTTTTTTAATAGCTCTCTCTCTCTCTCTCTCTCTCTCTCTCTCTCTCTCTTTGTAACCAATATTTCATATAACTTTTAAATTGCAATTTTTTTCAACTAAATAGTTTGTTTTAAAGTTAAGAAAGTTGTTTTTTAAAAAAAAAATTTATAAAAATAAATAACAACACAACGCGTGTATTGTTAGACAATAATAATGATATGATATATCTTATAGTTAGTTAGTATTATATATATATATATTTTTTTAGTTAAGTTAAAAGTTTTGAGGACACAAACAAATAGACAAAAAAAACAAAATACAATTAACAACAATGACACCCAACTGTCCACAAAAAACTTATTGATTTTTGTTTTGTTGCTGTTTTGTTGGATCAATAGGATTGCCAACTGTGTGTATATAAATACATTTTAAATAAACTAAATAATTAAATCAAAAAAAGTTGATTTTTTTTGGTTAAATAAATATATTTTTATCTTATTTATATTTAACATTGTGTATTTATTAATTGATGATTATATATATATATATATATATATAAATTTATATACAGTATATACTGTACATAATATTAATTATTAAGCAAACAAACAAAATTAAGTGCTATTTAAAAAATTTATGTAATATATTTTTTTATAGTTATTTTTACTATTTTTCTATTTAAAAAATAAATAAAAACAACTATAATATTAGATAACATTTTAACTATTTTTATATTATTATTTATTTATAAAAAAAACATAATATTGTTTATAATTTAATGGCTATTTTTTACTGTAATATACATTATTTATTATTATTATTATTATTATTATTTAAAAACTTTTTTTTAGTTATCTTAAAATAAAACATTTAAGAGTTAGTTATATTATTGCCTATTAATAGTAAAGTTATACTAAAGAGAAAATTGTATATATTTTTTAAAAAAAAACACAAAAAATTCAATAAAAACT